AGCTTTACCGTCGTAGTTGTCCGGAGTGCATGACATGTTTCATGTTAGTATGCTTCGGAAGTACGAGCCGGATCCGTCTTATGTATTGGATTGGACTGACTTAGAGGTTGATGAGGATGCCTCGTATGAGAAGAGACCGGTGCAGGTCTTAGATAGGCGGGAACAGGTCTTGCAAGGCAAGACGATACTTTTGGTAAAAGTTTTGTGGAAACATCTCGGGGTTGAGGAAGCCACTTGGGAATGTGAGTTGAATGTCCGTGAGAAATATCCGGGCTTGTTTGTTAATGTTTAACCATGTATTGGGAATTTTGTTGTATTGATAAATTTTAAGAATATTGAATATGTCTAAAGTTGTAAAACATTGTATATGTTTTGGATTATGGAAATATTGTGAAGGTTGAGTATGCCTTGAGAATGGAAGTTTATTTTAAAATTGTGTATGTTAAATGTGTTGTAGAAATGCAAGTATGTTATTAACGTTGCATATGTTTTGGAATTGTGGATTATGATATTGAAACTTGTCGAAATTCAAAGGAATGCATGTTGATAATGCATGTTGAAAATTATATTGTGTATTGCCTCTTGAAAAGAGATAGGATGACCGGTAATGGGTCAAGATGTTAAGTATTGAATTGTATTGTTGTTGAGAGTTGAAAAATCATGTTTTTGAAACTTGTATCTAATTTCGGGGATGAAATTCTTTAAGGGGGGAGGTTATAGCGATCCCGATTTTTCCCCATTTGGTTGTTGTATTCCGGACTTAGGTTCCGTGGTGTTGGTTGTTATATATCTTGTTGTCATCCTTTAATTCTTTATATTCGAGTTTTGGGATATGTTGGGCAGGTTTGTTACAGGTTGGTAGTGAGTTTAAACCAATGGTTGCTGCCCAGAATTTTGTTTCTTCGCTCGAGCAAGGCTTTTGTCGCTCGAGCGAGCTCTGTGTTTTAGATCCTTCGCTTGAGCCAGGGTTCCTTCGCTCGAGCTAGAGTTGAGTGTTGAGTCTGGTGGCTCGAGCGAGAAGTCTTGCGCTCGAGCTTGCATCTGCGTCTGGTTCTGGACCTGACAATTGCATTTCTTGGCTCGAGCGAGCTTTCCTTCGGTCGAGCCAGTGAGCTGTATGTTTTGGGTTTCTTCGCTCGAGCGAGCTTTTCTTCGCTCGAGCGTGCTTTTGGGTTGCAGACCTGAAGCTTCGAATTGTTGGCTCGAGCGAGGCTTTCTACGCTTGAGCGAGGTTTCTTTATGTCTGGTCGTTCGAGCGACCACTCCTTCGCTCGAGCGAGCCTCGGATATATCAGTTGGCAGCAGCAGTCTCCTTCATGACTTTTTGATACACTTTACATCTCAAACCCTAGATTCAGCTCTCTCTCTCTCTCTCTCTACACATACATTCTCTCTAGGGTTTCATCTACTTCTAGAATGTTACTACCCTAATCTCTTTGTAAGAAAGATAGAGGGTCGTGAGGGCTTCACTTTAATCTGAAAATTTGTGGATTTGGAGCACTTTGAGTTTCACCTCTCTCCTCCTTTGAGCTCCAAAAATTAAGGTAGGGATACCCTACTCCATCTTATGAGTTTTGTCATAAATTTTAGTCATTTTGATTAAATGGTGTCGTTTGGTAATTTTGGAAAAAGTTAGGGTTTGATTCGTAATTATATAAAGAGGGGTTTTGTGTTTTGAAGCTCCATGTGCATAAAAGGCTTTGGGAATATGAGTTTGTAAGTCAAATTGGTGGAATTTGGTCTGAGGATCAATATTTGAGAAAGGGGGAAATTGCCCTAATTGTGTTGAATAATTAATTTGAATAATTATTTTGTGGAAATATGAAATTGAGTTGAAATTCATGAAATTGGAGAATTATGAGATTGAATGGTGTAGTTAGATTAATTAATCACTCACCTATGAAAATGTTGATATTATATCTGTTGATGCATTTATTATCTGTTTAGAGATAACCGCTTGGACTATCGGTGGAGGATAGTCTTGGTTGTTGTAGACACTGTATGTTGATTAGGGAAAACTGAAACTAATCATCTGGAATATGTCATTGACTATGACGTTTGGAATAATACATCGAATATGTGTATTGATTGATCATTGTATATGATGAGTGTTTAAATACATTGTATATGTATATTATTTGAGAGGAGATAGGGGATGGACTCCATGGTTTGAGAGGAGATAGGGGATGGCCTCTCAAACCTGTTTGGGAGGAGATAGGGGATGGACTCCATTAATACAGCGAATATATGTATTAATTGACTTATTGAAGTGTTTTTATATGAGCCATAGTCTCATTGAATTGTGGTTATTGGAAGTGTTGTTATATGAGTTGTTATCTCATCTAATTGTTTGGCCAGGTTCTGAGCCATATTTATGAATTGAATTGGTTAAGTAAAAGATAGTGGGCTGAAACATGTACATAATTGTCATGGAACTATATTGGGTTATAAGCTGGTTCACAAGTGTTGGCCATTTATCATATGCTAATGTTTTAGTCATTGCTCATATCTGGTTTAGTATATCTCTACTGGGCATTGACTCACCCTACATGGGACATCATTTTCAGGTGCAGGTGACATGCCACCTCCAAGGTCATAGCTTGGAAGGTCTTGGGAGTTGAAGACTCTTTTGGTTGTTTTGTTATTTGGGCAATATATGTAAATTCAAGCCAAGGGCTTAATGTGTAGGAGTTAGTAATCTCTTTTTGTAACCAAGTGTTGGCTTGGAAAGTTGTAAGCCCATAGGGCATTTACTTTTATTGCCAACAAGTAATACTTTTGTAATGCTTGGAAGGTCTTGGGAGTTGAAGACTCTTTTGGTTGTTTTGTTATTTGGGCAATATATGTAAATTCAAGCCAAGGGCTTAATGTGTAGGAGTTAGTAATCTCTTTTTGTAACCAAGTGTTGGCTTGGAAAGTTGTAAGCCCATAGGGCATTTACTTTTATTGTCAACATGTAATACTTCTGTAATGAATACTTTGATAAATAGAAATATGCTTTATTCTCTTATGTCTATGCACGCCAAGAATGTGGGTTTATATGTATTATTTTGAGGGCATTATAGAAAATGGGTGGTTGATCGATCGAGATGGGTTGGCTGAAATCCCATGCAAGTCTCGCCATGCGGCGGTGGAAGATGAGTTTGAGCATGAATAGGTCAGTGTGGAACCAGCTGTGGCTATGGTTATGGGTCTTGGTTTCAAGGCCATGGTTGGGTAGGTAGTGGCAGAAGTCAATGAAGAGAGGGAAATTGAAGCAAGTAGAGAGGAGGTCAAGGTTGAATTGGATAGGGAGGTTTCGAATGTGGATCCAACGATTAGAGCAGTCTGGGTTGAGATTGGACTGTTGAGAATTGAAGAGAATGAAGAAGAAGAAGATGAAGGAGGGAGTGATGATGATGGGTTTGTTGGTGGCCATTACGGGGATCTAAGTATAGGGAATAGGTAGAGAGAGAACAGAAAGGGGGTTTGTTTTTTCTTTGTCAATTTTTTTGGATTGAATTATTGTTTCTTTGAAGAAACACCACTGTGTTGGAATGAAGTGTCACCATAATCAATCGGAGATCATGGCAAACAGTGATGGGAAGGGTAGGCAATGACCGAAAGTGATGGGAAGGGTTAGGGTTAGGGTTAGGGTTTGGAAAATTATGGTTAGAATGTTAGGGATGAGGTTAAAAATATAACTTCATGTTTGGATAAAATTGGAATTAAAAAAAATAAAAGAGATGGAGGGTCCAAAGAAAAAAGGTAAGTACTAATAGCAGCACTCTCATGATAAATTCTACGGGTTCAAACAACACCCTCTAATCTAGATTATGGACAAGAGGGAATCTGGCTTCCTACAACATATTATACCAATGTTTGCTTATTTTGGCTTCATTTAGGAAGTGAGTTGACCTTTTGACTTTTTGATTATTTTAGTTTAGGTTAAAAATTCTCATTTGAATTGGATTTTTTGACCCCTTTTTTAAATTTTTATAAGAGAAAAAATGAAATGATTATAAAGCTTGGTTTGGCATGTTCGAAAAAAGTCAAAAAGTCACTATCCTATTTAACTCACATCATCTTATTTAAGTCACATCACCTCTCTAACACATCACTTCCAACCCAATCCAAATCTAACTCATATTTCATAAAAAGTCAAAAAGTACACATATTTAGATCATCCCAAACAACTCCTAATTTATATGTGATATTGTATCTTATTATTTTTTTATTTTATTTTATTTTTTTATGACTATTTTAACCTTTTAACTTTCCAACCCAACCTACCAAAGGAATTTTCATGAATAATTTATATTTATATGATTCCAATAGTGAACCTAAGCACATGTGGCTAGAAACAAGCAAGTAGTAACCTTTAATTAACGCCAACCAAGGTGTAAATTGGTAGTCCCAAAGAGATACTTTTTAGCCCTAGATTAAAATTAGTAAAAAGTCAAAAAAATAAAAAAAAGTCAATCCACATATCAAATAAAGGCGGAGAGAAGTCAAATCCTATTTTAATCTCGATATATTCTGGTATATTAGGGCTTGTTTGGAAATTAACGTTTTTCCCTTTTCAAGAAAAATGTACAAAAAAAGTATTCTTTCCATTTCAAAATATTAGTCTATTTTTAGATATTCTAACTTTTTTGATATTATAATTATTACACTTTAAAAATATTAACTTTCAAAAATATTCTTTGATAGTATAATTTTGTCTAATGTCAATTTTAAAAAATGACAAAATAAAAAATTTATATTATTTTAGTTCTTAATTTTTAAAAATAAATTTATATTTTAAAATAATAAAAAATAAAATAAAAGATTAATATTTTTTAAATGAAAAGAGCGTGCATATTGATTTGTTGAATTTTTTTTTTATACTACAGTGGCAATGAAAATCGCTTACGTGTTCACCTATTCACGAAACGTACGGCATAATAATTGATGTGAAATTAACGCCATCCCCAGCAAGGAGGATTGTTTATAAAAGCCGTTCCCTACTATAGGGCATTCTGTATTCTTGCAGAGTCAAAATTGAAGCATGAAAGCATACAGCAAAAGAAGAAGAAGCAGAAGAAAGCTTATCATCGGCTGTACTTCCTCGGAACATTCATTCGCTGCTGAATTAATTGCCAACAATTCAGATCTCCTAACAGAGATCCTAATCCGAGTCCCAGCAAAATCCCTAATCAGATTCAAGTCGGTCTCAAAGCAATGGCTCTCTCTCATCTCCGACTCCCAATTCGCCTCCGACCACTCTCGCCGAAATCACCATTCCTCCTCCTCCTCCATTTCAGCCTTTTATTTCTACTCAAAACGTTGGTCTCCCGAAGAACAACTCGAGTCCGTATCAATTGCTGGACACCGAACTCTTCTTCCCACACTCCTTTCTCGATGGTGTCGTTGTATCAAGTTGTACAATTAGGATTGAACGCTCTTGCAATGGTTTAATCTTGTGCTCTAATGGTTTCAGAAAACCCCCATATATTGTTTGTAATCTCACCACAAAGAAATTCTCACTTCTTCCTGATATTGGTCCCACTTCATCTGAATCGTATCGTAAAAATGCTGGTGCTTTCTTGGCTTTTGATCCTTCGAAATCGCCTCACTATAAAGTTTTATTGTTTAGTGACAGCTATGTTAATGATGGACACTGGGTTGAAATTCAAATTTACAGTTCCCAGACTTCGTCTTGGAAACACATTTCTGTGCCTGAACAGCGAGGTTTGCGATTCATGTTCAGCGTGTTTTGGAACGGAGCAATTCAGGGTATAAGCTATGAGAATGTTCATGCTCGATTTGAGGTTGAGGAAGAGAAATTGATACAGACCCCATGGCCTCGAAACCCTAAAATCCTTTCTCTTGATAAGTTCCGGTATTTTGGAGAATGTGGTGGCGATTTGATTCTTATTCAGGCTCCTCAGCGTTGTGCTATGGGATTCAGAATCCTTCAGATGCACAGGGATTACTGTGAGTGGATTGTGAAGTACCAGGTCCATCTTAGACCCATTTTATCTGTATTTCCTAAGACAGAACGCGAAACCATAATCAAATGCTCTGGATTTAAGGTGCTTTGTGTCGTGAAGGGAGCAAATGAAAAAGATTTTACACTGGTGTTAGCTATCCAGGGCAAAGTTATTTCTTATAATGTCAAGTCCAAGACATTGAAGGAGCTTCCTGATTTATCAACAGATGATCTTGATGATTGGGTATTAACTTGGAGGAGTCCTACTTATCAATTCTTTGAAAGCCTATCACCTGTTTGATCATTGTCCTCTATGTTTCTACTTCTTTCTTCAGCAGATGGTATGTCCCTCAATAAACTTTTCTATATTTCTATCTGTTTAAGTATTTGTTATTGTTAGTTTCTTGGTCTGTGATGCTATGCTACGATCATCCTTTGATGTTTAGATTCTGTTTTAAGTTTGCATTACAAATCGATTCCTCATTCATCAATTAGGGTTGAAATACAACTGATGTACATAGCATAGCTCCTGCAGTAATAGAGCACCACTGTGATTATCAATTTTGTTGCTTTATATGTGAGCCCTGTTTTGACCACAGTAATTCATTCACTCAAGTGTCATTTAAATTGTTCTGATTACCAAAGAGGGTAAGTTAAGCTCATTCACTTCCTGGTTTTAATCTCCTAGTTATGATGTAGTTGGGTGGAATTGGTTTTGTTAATATATATATGGTATATATTACTACATATATTACTATATATATGGTATATATGGTATATATTACTACATATATTAGGTATTTATTTCCTAGATATATTAGGTATTGCCATAGTTAGGTCTCTTATATGATACTCTTTGTAATAGTTAGATTTCTAGTAGGATACTCTTTCTTAGCCTATATATATATGACTTCTATTGTATAGGACAATTGATAATATACAATTCGTTCAATACAATACATATTATTTTCTCTCTCTCCACTATTCTAATATGGTATCAGAACTAGGTTAAGTGCCTAGTAATTTCGCTTTACCGACGGGTGGCAGCCTTGCCTTGGTCGCCCGCCGGACCTCAACCTATTTCGCTGTCATGTTTTTCTTTCAGTATCGCTTTGTGGTGATCTCTTCCTCTATCCGCTGGTTTATTCCTACTCCAAATATCTCTATCATATATTTTTTTTTCTTTTTTTTTTTACTGGTAATTCATTTTTTTTTCCTCTACTCTATCTTTCTCTCCGCTTCAATCTCAAATTGGTTTCTATCTTCAAACCTATTTGAGTTTGAGGGGGGCATTATACTTATATCATGGTGAACATTGTTATACACCATGCAAACCACCTAACCGCCTCCTTTGGTGCACAATCCAAGTCGCACTCTCTGGCGCACAACCCAAGCCGCCCCTCTCTGGTACACAATCCAAGCCGCACACTCTGGCGCACAATCCAAGCCGCTTCCTGTGGTGCACCACCAAACTCGCCCCCTGGCGTACTATCCAAGCCGCCTCCTTGCGTACTCAGTCATCTGTTGCCATCATCGTTCAACACCACGTCATAAGTTATGTGTGTGCCACGCTTACTGATTCAACATCCAGTCTCTACAATGGTCTGGCATGACCTCGTAAACTGGCCCGACATTGATTTCAGTTAGTTCCTACATTGGTCCAGCATGACCCATTTAAACTGTCCTGGCATTGGTTCCAGCCAATTCCTACAATGGTCCGACACGATCATAAACTGTCTCTCGACATTAGTTCCAGCTAGTTTCTATATTGGTCTGGCATGACCTTAAATTGTCCTGGCATTAGTTTCAGCTAGTTCCTACAATGGTTCGACACAACCATAAACTGTCTCCCAGCTTTAGTTCCGGCCTCTGATCTATTTCAAGCGCCTTTGCGTTCCCGTTCGAATTTTGCAATCTATTTGCCTTTTATTTTATTTAGTTTTATTCATATTTTAGTTTCTCTCTCCAAACTCAAGATGTTTATCCTCCTTGAGTTTGAAGGGTAATGTTAATGTATATATGGTATATTTTCTTACATATATTAGGTATTGATTTCCTAGATATATTAGGTATTGCCATAGTTTCTTTATCATAGTTAGATTTCTAGTAGGATGCTCTTTCTCAGCCTATATATATATATATACATATATATGTCTTCTATTGTATAGGGCAATTCATTCAATACAATTCGTTCAATATAATACATATTATTCTCTCTCTCTCTCTCTCTCTCTCTCTCTCTCTCTCTACTATTCTAACAGTTTTTAATGCTCTAGGAAGGAGTAGAATATATTCAAGCAATCCGTTGTTTGCAACTGTCATTAATTATTAGTAGTTCTCTCTTGTGAGGACAGGAGAGAGACTAGGTTTCTTCTTTTGTAAAATGTTTATAGGGAATAAGTAAAAAATTATGAAAAAGATCTTGTAAGTCCATGCTACCTCACTAGTTCTTTCAGAATAAAATGAATTTCCTTAACAAATCAAGAGATGTAAGGTTTTAGTTTACATAGGAACCAATAATTGTGTTCAGAATGGTGTAAACAACAATTATTAAAAAAATAAAAATATATAAAAAGAGAAGAAATAGAGAAGCACAAATACTACGTTGGTATAATTTGATTTACCATGCAATTGCGATTTAAAAACCGTGTTCAAGTTTGGAAGGCTCAACTTGGTCTCTTCACTTAGTGAGGGTTGGAATTTGGTAAACTGACCTCGTTTGGGAATAGGTTATTTTAGGAACTTTTTGGCTTTTTGGCTAAAATATGATGTAAAAAAAAGACGAGTATGTTTGGGATGACCTGTGCTAAGTTCGATTGTCAACTTCTGGTAGCTGTAAGTTTTGGTACGTTTAGGGTCGTATTTTGATCAGCATCTCATTTTAGTCTTTAACATTCCGTTATGACAGTTAGCATCTTCCATTTTCACATTTTAGTTCATCCATTGTTGATTTCCACCGCCTGCAGTACTATTGCATCCCTATGAGCCCTATGAGTCCAATTTTGGCCATTGTAATACATTAACTCAATTATCATCTTTTGATCTGATCACCAAAGAGGGCTTGGTTTACTCGTTTCACTTCACGGTTTTGAAATTGGCGTCGGGAAACATCATAATTGATTAGGTTTTGATTGGTCGATTAAGGCTGACATACAATTGATTTACATAATCCATCCATAGTTTACTTCCCATATAGGAGAGAGATTGCTTTCTTATTTTGTAATTGGGTTCATGTTAATAAATCTAAAACAATAGATTTTGTAAGATGGTGTTGTTGTTTCTATAGTTCTCCCAGAATTGGCCTAGGGGCAAGGCCTTGGGTATTGGAGGGATCGAAACCTCTTACGTGCTAACAATTTCTTCGGGCCATCAGACTAGGGAAAACACTTAAATTCATATATTCAATTGTGTTTGTAATACAAGAGTATATCGGTTTATATAACAATCTAACCTAGGACTGAAAATGAAGCAATCCCTAATATATACAATATATATATATATATAATATCATATATACATAAAACCTAATATTCTCACAATTATTGATGATCGAGATGGCAACGGTGGAGTTTGAGCAACAACAACAACGACGACGATGGGTTTGGTTTTAAGTTTGATAAAAATCTTATTTTTTCACACTACGTTTGTAAAAAGATTGGAAGTTTTCAAAATCGTTGCTTTTTTAATTATTTTCTTTTGCGGCTTTTTGTAGTTTGAGTAGGTTCTTTATGTGGATTTGTGGGCTTTGTTGTATTTTTTTCCTTTTCATTATCTTGTAAGTTGCTTGGCTTTTATATAAACTGCATTTCTTCATCGAAAACTAATTAGTTACTTATCTAGAATGTTCTCATTAAACTACTTGCCAATTAATAGTATTCCATTATTTTTTTGGTCATTAATTTCATTATTACCACGCATCCAATTTTTTTGGCAAGCAATCAACTAGTTGTTAAGTAATTTAACTATAACGTTTGTGATATCAACGCTATAAATTATCATAACTTACATATAATATACATTAAAGAGAAAAAGAAAAAAGAAAAGTGTATATTGTAAAAAGTCCCCTTTTCAGAAGGCATTTTTATGTTGACATAAAAATGTG